CTCTAAATTTGTATTTCAGGCCACATTCCTTCCCGTTGTGTTCGCTTGCCTTGTTCCGGTGATCACCTACCTCCCGTTATTTGCCGTTGATGCTCCTATCATCAATCATATCTGGAAAGTCCTTCTCGTCAATTCAGCTGCTACTCTCATACACTATCTCTTCTTCATACCAAAGTAGGTTTTAATCTAGGCAATTATGATTGGTTGGGGAGAACGACCAATCACGACTCTGCTGCTTTAATGAGACTTTGTTGTTACAGCTTGTGCTTGCTTTTCTCTATCCATATGCCTGCTTTTACATCTGTAAATTGTACTGATTGTTGCTGTGATATGGAAGACGATAGCTCGATTTACTACATTCCAACAACTGCTCGAGCGGTCCACCCAGAAGGGTTAGTACAGTCTACCTACCGTAATCCATCGCTTTCTAAAAGTTCTGCTTTAGTATCTACCAGCACACTTCCTATACCTATTCCGTGCCCAAGTCAATGGTTAACGGTGGACCGCCTAATTATCTCGCTATTAGTATGTTTTGTACTGTACAATCAATCGATATATTGATCCGTCGTTCCAGCAGGTCCACCTTTGGAATCGAATTATGCGGGTGATTATGTCAGAGCAAATGTTGAAAGGACAAGAACGAGACGAGCAAGGAGGATAAGCGAAGTGAGTACGACAGTATTTTCTAGATTACTGTAGGATTATGGTAGAACTTTAGGGATCTGTACCACATTCTGAAGCAGCCACTCCTAGAGCCAATCGAACATCACGGAAAAAGTCAAAGGATGATTCTATCTATGAGCCTCCTCCAAGCCCGGTAAGGTTAAAAGCTTGGCAATTAGTCAGAACTAGAAAATTTTCCACATTTGTTTTCAGAGAGCTTCTTCTCGGGAATCATCTCCACAACGACAATCGCGACAGTCGCATGGACCATTTTTCCAAGATCCATCGATCAATATGCATCAACAACGTTGGCGACCATTTGCTCATCCGCAGCCGTACATATTTTATCCGCCTCCAAATGGTTTCCGACGGTAGGTCATGCGAGGAAGTCGGTTTTAGCTGAATATTTTTTATATATAGAATATTGTGATTCTTTGCTCAGCATAAATTGTGATTTTTCTTGATCATGCCTTGAGTATTTATCGATTTATTGATCGTCTTCTCACCCATCAAGTTGTTACTCTACAGCAATTGTTTAGTTTGCCCTAAGCT